TGTATATATCTCTGGTTATGAAGCTGTTGCTTCCCAAACACGTTCATGGAATCATCCTCAGTGTTTGGTAGTTTGAAAAGTGATTATTCATCAGGGGAAAACTTATAGGGAAAAATATTATTATTTGATTATATAAACTTCAAAAAACACTTAAAAACCCATCCATACTATTTTAAATACATATGCTCTTTCATGACCATAGAAAGAGCTAATCAGTATCCTGTTGTACTATGCCATATAATGTGTTCAGTACCCTTCAGATATATATATATATGTATAATAATAGTAATAATAAGACAAATAGTAGCAATAATAATATCATTAATAATAGTAGTGTGACACAATTTGTCATGTTCTTAGAAGGACGCCTTTCGTTCTCATAGTAAATGACATGAATAGCGGAGGTAGGGACAGATCGTATTCTTCTGTGCTGCTATCTGGTACCTCAAGAAGGTACCGCAACACAGCGTGGCATTGCAACAAACATCCAATAATTTAATAATTTTCAAGATTCCCTTTTAGGGGTATTTTTAAAATGACGCTATATGGGTATTAACATTAAATTAACACATATAAGATAAAACCTAAACTAATTTGAGGCTGATTTTAAGGAAAACAACGACCACGACAACAGCAACAGAAAAACAATCAAACTCTAACGCTTTCAACAGGTGGACCTATCTTTATCATAGCCAAAGACAGAATAATGTTCTGATATTCCTGAGTGCATTGATATGAAAGACTCTCCTACTTACCTGTTAGGAAATGATAATAACCAGCTGCTTAGACATCATAATTAAACCCACACATATTTAAGATGTTTAATTTAAATACCTCTTACCAGATGCAGGAAATTTGACTTTCATGTTATGATTATAATAATTAATTTTGACATCTGAAATTAATATTATTGTATTGAATTGCTTTTGTTGAAGAATTTGTATAATCCATCTATCTATCTGTTTAAATAGTTATCTGTTTTGTTGTTGTTGTTTTTTCTACAAAACATTACTTATTTACCTGGACTACGCGTGGCCTAGTTATTAAAGGGTGGACTGTGAATCTGATTTACGTCCCGTTGTCAGAAGATCAAGCTCCACACTGTTATATCTTGGATCTGTTGGTGTATTATACGAGTTACAGTCAAATCCCACTATTCTATTTCGATCTGTGGGTGCATTATACGAGTTACAGTCAAATCCCACTATTCTATTTTGAGCTGTAGGTGCATTATACGAGTTACAGTCAAATCCCACTATTCTATTTTGAGCTGTAGGTGCATTATACGAGTTACAGTCAAATCCCACTATTCTATTTGGATCTGTGGGTGCATTATACGAGTTACAGTCAAATCCCACTATTCTATTTTGAGCTGTAGGTGCATTATACGAGTTACAGTCAAATCCCACTATTGACACAGATATCGACATTTATAAACATACAGAAAAAATATTTAATAACGATGTCAGAAGAATTTTTTTTCTAAAACAACACACCTCACGATTGCTACCTATTTGGTAGACGAATGGATAAGTTTGTTTGGTTGTTTGAGATATTCACGCCAAGCTGCACATGGGTTATCCGTGCTAGACGTCCCTAATTCTGTAGCTAAAGAGGAAGAAGCTAGCTAGTCAACACACCCACTGCCAACTCTTGGGCAACTATAATAGAATAGTGGAATTTGACTGTAACTCGTATAATTCACCTACAGATCCAAATAGAATAGTGGGATTTGACTGTAACTCGTATAATACACCAACAGATCCAAATAGAATAGTGGAATTTGACTGTAACTCGTATAATACACCCACAGATCCAAATAGAACAGTGGGATTTGACTGTAACTCGTATAATACACCCACAGATCCAAATATTAAAGAGAAATATCATTACATATAATACTCACTTGGTTCAGGTTTGTGAAATGAGCACAGAAAACGCATGCAGCATGCGTTCGAAAGCATACCCTGAAGGTGAAAGCTGAAAATATGCAATAACCACACGATTTCCTGATCATAAGCGAATGGCCGATTGTAACAATGCAGACGTGACTTCAAGGGGCGACTGCATTGCATGTGTATGGAGAACATAAAATCGAAAGCTTCTAATTCCAACCAGACGCTCTCTACTGCGGCTCTATGTATCCTGTTTGACAAGATGCGGAGAAGAAACCCCGGGCTGTTTTCACCATCAAAAGGATTTTATGCAATGAAAACCTCCAGCCTTGCCGGCTTGGAATGGCCTGGCCAACGAACCGGCATCACGCGATGCAAGCTGAGTTTATTGATGACAACATCATGTTATTTTACATGTTAATTGATTCTGTCACCTGATATCTTAGAACAAAGTAGCCAAAGACTGTTGAAAACTCATCTATTATTCAGCCGTTTCTATACGTACTGCAACTATAAGGTTAATCCAAAGGAAAATATAGGGGGAAAGAATTAAGAAGGACGGTCATCTATCAGCTACCGAGTTAAAAGGTAAGTATAGAACGAATAACAACGAAACTAAAGACGTCAAGATACAAATGAACTTACAAGGGACAATAAAACAACGTCGTAGATTAAATGAAAAATATCAGTCCGAAGAAAGAAATTTAAGATTCTAGATAACAAATAGGAATATAAAACGAAACCCGGAGAGAAGTTGGTGATAGCCATCATTTTCCACACCTAAATATGGCGTGCTTTTGTGCAGTAGTGTGTAGTGGAAATAAACCTTCTAGTACAAAGTTGTTTACATTCAGTGACCAGCTTGAATGCTACCACAAGCTACAGAATCGGTTTCGAAACATTATTCATCGTTAAAGAAACGCATAGAGCTATCATAGTTACTAAAAAGGCATATGTTCTTGAAAGACGTGAGAACTAACACTATAAAGTATCTTAGAAATGTGACTTCTTAACAAGACTGAAAAAAAAAACCATCTTACCAAGATTCAGTGTGGACGAACTATTGTAAGTTATTGAAATGCTGAAACATTTTGGTGAAGTTGATGGTTTTTCTCGTGTTCAGTTTGTCTTCAACTTAGATAACGTTCATACTTGTAAGGGGATATACTTAATCTTAATTCTAATACAACAAGCGGTTATTGGGTGCTGTACCAAGATGGAACACTTAACAAAACTGTTGTTCAGTTCATCTGTGGTGTCTCCTATTAATTGACATTTGTTTCAAAGTTAATTGGTGTCAAAATGTCTTGACAAAATACAAATGTGTTTCTGTTTTGACACGCTAATATTCTATTATTTTCCGTAATAAGTCATTCGTTGTTTTTTCTCTTTTTTTTTTCATTCTGTTACATACTGAAATTCTGTGACTCTTCTTACACGCTTGTGTATAAACTTTTTCAAACAACATACCATTCTTAACTGAAAACGATTTTCTTATCTATGTATGGTTTTATTAACTTTTAAGTTAGATTAATCTGTCACAATTATCCCCACCCCCGCTAGGTCAGCGGTAAGTTTACGGAATTACAATGCTATAATACGGGGGGGGGGGGTTCGGTTAATTCTCATGTCTTTCAAGAACAGATGCATTTTAGTAACTATAGAAACAAGAAAAACTTTAATTGGACGAAATTACTGAAACGAAGCAATATTATAAACATGAAAACATATTTGCTGTTGTCTATAAGCTTCTGGTCAAAGGTTAAAACCTCGTTTTCCGCTACATGAGGAGGACTCGGTAACTTCACGATAGTCAGACCATGTTTTATTTCTGAACAAAGACTCGAGTTTTATAATAAACACTATTGTGACACTGCCTGAAGATACGGAGAGTCAGGAATGAATTAGAATGTAATAATAAATTTTGGTTGCTTAATTTAGGAACTAAAATCTTACTTATATATCTTAGTTGGTATGTTACATTTCTGCTGATAGACAACAAAAAGCGTTTCGGACTGGTAATGACGTTTTATAATAACGGTTTGTATACGCTAATATAGCGGTTTGTCGCCGCAGAATGAATCTGGCACTTCAGACGACATTATCAGCTTCAATGGACATGACTTAAGGGGAAATCCCGAACGTGCGATGGTGCAATGCTACCACTGATGGACTTATGGCTGGAAAAATTTGTCTACAGCCTTTTCCAGTCATCACGTTCAGCCACAAACTAAATGGTATTGTCCATCTTTTTCTACAGTAGGTGAAGAAATTGGAGCACAACAATTTCAAAGATGATTATATAACATAATAAATAGCATGGGTAAGAGAAGGTCAGGATGGAAAACAACCTTAAAAGTCTCCCAACACAAAAAAGTCACAAACAGAAAGGCCAGGAACTCTTCCCCCCTCCTCAAACATACAAAGTGATTATTAACAAATTGCATATGTCCTAATTAACTATGAACAAAATGATTCCCAAAGATACGTGCCTACAAGGTGTTTTACAGATACATTGGTTGGAGAAAAACAAATTGCAGAAAAATGTACGAATAATTCGTTGAACGTTTCGAAGCGGAAACTTTATTGCAACACTGAACGAGGCTTAGATATGCCTGGTTTTCTAACGCTCCCTGTTTATATTTCTATAAATACATAGAATATTTGCATATTTATATTAATATAATTAAATTGTTTCTCTTTCCATTCTCATGCCTTTTCAGCAAGTTGGAGTAAATGCTTGCCTCCGGCATTCGGGTTTTAAACGTGCAGAAGGCAGACCCGGGATTATTTAAAAACCCTCTATACGTCTCTGGTGCATGCTGCTACAGTAGTTGCTCAACTTCTCCAGAAGCGGTCTAGTACGGCCCTAATACCTATGCCGAAAGCTTAGTCTTTTATACGACCTTCCCTCTCTAGGCTAGTCAGACCAAGTGTACAGAGAGCGAACGTAACGGTGAATCTCCCGCTATTCTGATTGCTACTCTGCGGCCCAGGCCCTTTTGTATCGGTATCGGTAGTTAAGCCTTACCAGCATAAATACTTTGGTGAAGAGTAAAATATAAAGTCATGTTGATAGACTCGGGAATCGCAAATCAATCACCAATATTTGAAAACCATTTCGTCGGCAGTGAAGGTAGGGATGTTTTAAAAGCAACGTATATTTCAAAGATTGGGTTGTTTTAATGTCATTTTGTTTTAGATAATCGTTTTTATTCATTATAATTAAAATGGCACATTTTATCTTTTGCTGTTTCGTTTCTGTTGAGAAAAAATATCAGTTTGGTGAGTGAATACATATATATATATATATGTGTGTGTGTGTGTATATAAATATATATATATATATAAGGTTTCTACAAATAGTTATATATAGTTTAAAGTGTAATAACTTTTAAACGAAATTTCCATGATGCGATCTTTAAAATCGTCACGTTCAGCCACAAGCCAAGCGGCACCAGGTGTAGCAAGGGCGGCGTCCTCGTTACGGACCTCGCACAACCAATCCAGCAAATCAGTATGATAACACCCTCAGCGTCCAACTGTGGGAAGGAAAAGTTGTTCAGAATACGAGTCCAATAATTCGTTTACTAAGGCGAAGTGACTTTTCTTATGGTGGGTCGTCCAGTACTCCTTTTATGGCACACGAGATCTTGTGTCTTTGAAATGCTTATGCCATAACATAATCGGATTGTTCGACTGTTTTCACGTATAACAAACTTGCCAGACTTTAACTCCACCTACCATAGAGTTGCTTGTAATTTTAATGAGCGTTTAACATCTCGACAGTATATGTTTACTATTTTAGATTATGATTTAGGCCTAAAAGGGGTGGGATTGAATATATGCTTTAGGTTTTAAGACTAGCACGTGATTTGTAGCTCATTGCTATCTTTCTTCTTTCAAAGTTACTACGTTTAAAAGTGTGTAGAACCATTTGTAGGTGGACATCCTATACAGATACCAATGAATAGTGCAAATAACACAAGATACATTTGACTTATTTTGTCAAGTAATTCCACTTTGTATGTATAAGCATAAATATGACTACTTCAGCTTTATTATTATTTTACTTATTTATTCGAACAACCTGGATTAGAAAATTTAAAACTGATTGTTATAAGTTCATGTTTAAATCTTTGTGCCACGATCCGTACACTTCACATGAGGATCTTATGTTATAGGTGCAGTGCAAGTTCATGGATAAAGACTTGTAACGCTAAAAACCGGGCTTTGATGTCCGTGGTTAGCACGGAACAGATAGCCCACTGTGTGGCGTTTGTGCTTAACAACAAACAAACAGAAACTTCACAGACATGCTACATTTGTTTGTCGGTAATGTTCCACTTCGTACTATTGTTTTCTCTACGTTCCTAATAATTTAAAATGTATTTTGAGTACTAAATTTCATGATTAGATATTTTATAAATTCACTTTATCTCTAGTTATTTACATGTGGGTAATTTTAGGTAGATATATGTGAAATTATTGTATATTTGAGAACATTCCATTTACAATAATGGTTCATTACTTGGAAAATACACACTTCCAGAAACAAAAATATACAACTCTGCCAAAACTATCATTTAAGTTAAGACTACATTTGGTCATAAAGTACAAGTAAGATAAATTGTCTGCTAAAAATGTGTTTTATATAAACTCGCAAGAGATGCTTATTACACCGTCAATCCTTAAATATTACTACCTATTATAAGTATAATTATTTACTATAGACCTCGTAAACTAAATGGATCCAAAAATAGCTAGATAACGATCTAACGAATCCAAATATAACTAAAAAATGATCTAACGTATTTAAACAATATCGATATCTAATATCTATTTCTGAATTGCTCTGGTCTCTAACTAAAAATTAGTACTTACCTATTTCTTAGAGATTAACATAGATTTTAGTTTGAACTACAAATATCTATAAGAATGTATTCTATTCTCCATGAAGTGGGAATTTTTTCAATTAAAATTTGACCAAATTAATATATACTCTTTAGCTTTATTTTTTTTTTTCACAAGACTGAAGATTCTTGAACAATCTGGTATTAACATTAAATAAAACAATTCAGTTGCTTCATTTGTTTTAATAATTACCCCACATTTTAGTACAGACTAATAGGAATATTTTGTATAGATCGTGTTTTGAATTGTAGCTACTTCGATGAAGACAGGACATAGTCGATATACAAGGCGAAGGAGAAAAAAATAACCAGAAAGTTATTTAATTTAGAACAGAGTTTAATTTCTGCAGTCTTATTCGGAAACAAATGACAATTAAATTGATTTCAGCTGCCTTCGTAAAATCTTCCTTGTACCAAATAGTAACGTTTGTGCTACCCAACTGCACAGCAACGTTTGTCCCACTCATCTGTACAGTAACGTTTGCCCCACCCAATTGTATAGCAACGTTTGCCCCACCCAACTGTACAATAACGTTTGCCCCACCCAACTGTATAGCAACGTTTGCCCCACCCAACTGTATAGCAACGTTTGTCCCACCCAATCTGCTACAGCAACGTTTGCCCACCCATCTGTATAGCAACGTTTGCCCCACCCAACTGTACAGTAACGTTTGTCCCCACCCAACTGTACAGTAACGTTTTCCCCACCCAACTGTACAGTAACGTTTTCCCCACCCAACTGTATAGCAACATTTGCCCCACCCAACTGTACAGTAACGTTTTCCCCACCCAACTGTATTGCAACGTTTGTCCCACCCAAATGTATAGTAACGTTTATACCCTCTGTATATTTACCAGGTAGATAACAAGTCAGTGACATAGACATAATATATCCAAAGGTAGAAATATAGGCAGTATGTATGTACGAGTGTGTGCTCCTGTACATTCTAATGTTGGAAGTTTAATGTAATTGTATACTGTTTCAGTGAATATGCGCGAATGATGTACTTGCAGGTACTTGAATTATTTATGGCTTCCATAAGCTCACTGAGCTAAAATGTCTTCACTATAAAAAGAAACGTACGATTACAATAAACACTTCCTTCAGCTATTGTTGATGAGAAACCGATTTGCATCTATAAAACATCTAAAACACATCTATGATAAGATTGTAAGCAATTGAATTGCGCCACTCTTAATATTAGGTTTTGATCCGGTTTCTTACGGTGCATGTAGTAATAACTAACTTATTTGATCCCGTGTTTTTCATACAGTTTTCTTAACAATATATAGATACGGTGTTGAATAGAACGAACATGTCTAATTCAGTGTTGTGCAAATAGAAGATTCGAATACAAGATCAGTTCACTGCATTATATAGCTTATGCTTTTGAATATATATAATTTTCCAGAACATCGTCTGTATTAAGATAATATACTAGATTTTAATTTTTGTTTTACTTTTTGAATGTACCATTGGGGAGTTTAATGGGTTATTGCTAAGTATATATATGAATCAAACAATTATACATTTATTATTTTCCGATATTGTTGAATTGGAGTCTATGTAACAAGGGTTGAAGTGAAATAATCTCATGATCTTGTAAAACAATAATTGATGTGACAAACACTTCTAGCTTGTGTTCTATTTTTGGCCTCCTGTCGGTACCGCGCACCCATTCACACATACCTACGTGAATAATCGTACCTCCACTAGGGGTCCTACCAACGGGTGGTGCGTTAGAGAAGCAGTTAGGGAGGGTCGGAAAAAATTCACATACGTCTTCCCGCAGAGAAGGTCGGAACTCTTCCCTAAAACTCGGTAAATCGCAGTTAGTAGTAGACCAGGTCTAAAAGAAGTGGCTTAGATTCTAAAAACTAGAAAAGCCAATACTTGCTAGAATTATAACAAACTAATCTCTTTGACTTATTAGCAGAGAATTAATAAACATATATATATTTCTTCTTGTGCGTTCCTTGTTTAGATGATCGATACAATGGACATGGGTTCCTTCCCACACCACCACTGACTCCAACCACTATTTCGGAGGTCTCATCGTCGTTCCCGTTGTCTTTCTCCATGCTACCACAGTCATCAATTTCAGCTCTCCCACAGCCATTTTATTCCCCGATGGCAACTGCATCTCTTCTCTCGGGCTCCGTTGCTGCAAGATCGTTTCCTGCTGCCTTCCTTCCGAGGACCGAGCATTCTAGACTAGATTATAGTTATCCGCCTCCATTGAATCTAGCGGTGGGCACTCGTGTGACGCGTGTTTCCAACTCGATAAATGGGGTGATTTACCCGGAAAATTCGACGAGATCACCCATCGCGTTTATTAGGCCTTTTTCTTCGCAACCTCCGTCATCTATTAAAAAACCAAAGAAATTCGACTTTGCTCATCTCGCCGAGTCGGCCATCTCCCAGGATGAGCCAGAGTTCTGCCCGAGTCCCGCTGAGACGAGAAGCAGCGACTCGCATCCTCCGAGGTCAACCTCTAGACTCGAACATGACGCACTATCCGCTCTTTCTTCAGGTTCTACAGTATTTAATCCTAAGGACAACTCTGGTTCCGCTTTTCCATTCCCCAATAGTCCTTTTAACTCTCATCCAGTTCTTTTAGCAAAGATGCCAAAGAAGATGTCACACTTACTAGATCAGCGACACCTTAAAGGTCGAATATTTTCTCACTCAAAGAAAGAGTTCATCTGTAAGTTCTGCCAGCGTCGCTTCACCAAATCTTATAATCTGTTAATACACGAGAGAACGCATACGGATGAACGACCTTACACCTGTGACATCTGTCATAAAGCTTTCCGGAGACAAGATCATTTAAGGGACCATACGTAAGAAACATTTATTTTTTATTTTTACAGAATTATATATATAATCAATTTTTAGAAACTAGGTTTAATGATATATTAATATTTCTTAAACATTATATTGTCACCCGGTGGGTCAGCGGTAAGTCTAAGGACTTACAACGCTAAAATCGGGGGTTTGATTCCCCGTGGTGTACACAGCAGATAGCCGAATGTGACTTTGCTTTATAATAAACAAACAAGACATCAAATCTAATATTTTTTTTACTAGGAAAAGTAACTAAATCATTACTTAAGAAACTTTGAATACTGGAATAGAAAATAAGCAGACTAAATAAACTTCGTAATATCTAAAGTTACTTGGTTCACAAATAAGACTAGCTAATCTGAATGTATTATGTGTATTTATCAGTCAGATACCGAAGAAAACAAACTGGGCATTATAACCATACGGAAAATGTAGATGGCACGGCGGTATGTCTTCGGACTTACAACACCGGAAACTGGGCTTCGATAACCGTGGTGGGCAGAGCACAGATAGCCCATTGTGTAGCTTTGTGCTTAACTTTAAATAAAAAAACATGTACGGTTCAATGAAGACAATCAAAATATTTTTGTGTTTGTTTGTTTTTAAAATTTCGCGCAAAGCTACACGAGGGCTAACTGCGCTAGCAGTCCCTAATTTAGCAGTGTAAGACTAGAGGGAAGGCAGCTAGTCATCACCACCCACCGCCAACTCTTGGGCTACTCTTTTACCAACGAATAGTGTGATTGACCGTAAAATTATAACGCCCCCACGGCTGAAAGGGCGAGCATGTTTGGTGTGACGGGGATTCGAACCCGCGACCCTCAGATTGCGAGTCGAGCGCCTTATCCACCTGGCCATGCCGGGCCATATTTTTGTGTGTTATTACATGTGTAATAGCCATTGTGAATGTAATTTCCAACTGCTCAAAAGGAACTTATTTATAATTTGAAATTATAGCTTGAAGCGTTTGAACTCGGTGGAATACTGGCTGTGGTTACGATGCTGGGGGAGTGGCGAATCTGTAATACATGACGACAGTTCAGTTGGCACGCGACTGATAGTCAGTCGCAGTTATTCACATAATAGTTACATTTAATACTGTGAGCCGTTGATATCTCATAATAATACCGATGATTACGCATGATAGTTCTGTTTGTACGGTGTTAAGTATTGTCATTTTCACACACGTATATTCTACTCTAATGCATATTATTAGTTATCTCTAAAACGAAACATGAGGTGAAAGTCAAATAATATTGCAATATCTTTTTATGTAATTCAACTGTATATTTGATACATCAATACATCTTTAAGTTAGAGTAAAAAACTCTAAGTAGATAGTTTTTTCATAAACAAACTTTCTAAACGTATAAAGATGTATAAGTTAGACTCCTGTTTGCACCAACACCTGCTCCTTATTTCTAATTAAGTCTATTTTAATTTCAATTGCAAGACTTTCGAATAGATGTTGTGTTTCATATAGCTAGTTATCTGAGCCTCTGCGCCTCCTGGTGTTTCAATTTTGTGATTAGAAATATGTTGACTTTATAAACATCTCTGGTTTATACACGCTTGTTTTTCTAAACATATATTTAAGTAATGCGGCTCCTTTTCTATCTTTTTCCGGATATTTCGTGAAAAATGAGAGAATAACAAAGGCCACTGAAGAGGAAGTAACTAAGAGTAAGATATCAGTCAGATAATACAAAACTATGATCTTGCCTTTTTTGGGGGGTTTCAAGTGACGCTCTTCTACCCAGCTTGGCATAGCCTGGTGGTTCGGGCGCTCTACTCACAATCTATGGGTCGCGGGTTCGAATCCCCGTTACCGAACATGCCCGCCGTTTTAGCCGTGGGTGTGCTATAAAGTAACGGTCAATCGCACTATTCGTTCCCAAGAGTTTGCAGTAGGTGGTGATGAACGCTGCCTTCCCTCTATTCTCTCGCTGTTAGATTAGGGACGGCTAATGCAGATAGCCCTCGAGCAGTTTGCGCGAAATTCAAAACAAACCAAACAAAGACGTTCTAATCAAAACAAAAAACTGAAACACAAAAATCATGTTGAGTTAGTCTTAAACAGTACATCGTATATACATTTGATCTAACGAAATACATCCGTTTTCATAATGAAATATATTAGGTTTTAAACAGTACATCGTATATACATTTGATCTAACGAAATACATCCGTTTTCATAATGAAATATATTAGGTTTTAAACAGTACATCGTATACACACATTGGATCCAAGAAACACATCCGTTTTCATAATGAAATATATCAGGATTGAAACAGTACATCGTATATACATTTGATCTAACGAAATACAACCATTTTCATAATGAAATATATTAGGATTTAACAGTACATCGTATACACATTTGATCTAACGAAATACATCCGTTTTCATAATGAATTATATTAGGATTTAACAGTACATCGTATACACACATTTGATCTAACGAAATACATCCGTTTTCATAATGAAATATATTAGGTTTTAAACAGTACATCGTATATACATTTGATCTAACGAAATACAACCATTTTTATAATGAAATATACTAAGTTTTAAACAATACGTCGCACCTTACTAAATTTTGGGAATAGCATAATTCTGTATTTAAACATTCGAACTTAATTTAATCCTTCTCATGAACAGGCATTTTCTTTGGTTCAGTAATATCGTCTACGAACTAAAAGAGGGTAACACGATGTTTAATAATGTGTGAAATGCTTAATTTGATTTATGTTACATCTTGGAAATGGATAAAAAAAAATCATCCTACTGGCAAATGTTTTGTTAAAATTACTCCAATGCAATGCGCGACTTTCCTGATTTTATTATTAACAAATATTCATATTTATTTTTTATAGGTACATCCATTCCAAGGAAAAACCCTTCAAGTGTTCGGAGTGTGGGAAAGGGTTTTGTCAGTCTCGAACTTTAGCTGTGCACCGAATTCTTCACACGGACGATTCACCACACAAGTGTTCTACCTGCGGACGCTGCTTCAACCAACGGAGCAACCTAAAAACCCACCTCCTCACCCACACCGACATCAAACCCTACAACTGCGGCTCTTGCGGGAAGGTTTTCCGCCGAAACTGTGATCTTCGCCGGCACAGTCTCACGCACGACATGCAACAGATGGCATCGACTACACCCTCAGTATCTTCTGTTAAAAATCCTATACCATCTTTGAGGTTTGTATGTCCATCGTCATGTAAGCATAACAACCTTATTTCGGAGAATCCTACCTCAATCTCTTTCTGAAACAAGAGATGTGATTAAAAGTTGGGGGGTCCCCATACTTTCTTAGCTCAAGTGTTCCCCCCATGACATTATTCATCGTGACTGTAGACCCTCCCCATCAAATTAATTCGTGGAAATGGAGTAACACAGATCCATTTATATTACCATTGTCTCCTTTTGCTGTTAAAATTGTTCATATTGTTAACAGATGCACTTTTAAATGTCAGGGTCACTTGGGGGGGGGGCAATATGTACATGCTGCGGCCCTGTAAGGGTTTCTAGCTTCCGGTCTGGGAACCAATGGATTAAGAAACCTGTAAATTGAAGAAATATTGATGAAATTATAATCTTTTATTTCAAGGGGAAAAATTATGCAAGTTTTTGTTGTTTTTTAAACCAAACGAAGTCAATCAAAATATGTTTGTGTTATTACATGATGTAACCAAGTCATTGTGAACATAATTTCCAACTGCTCAATAGGAAATGATTAACGGGTCTGTCTTTATTAACTAATTGAAATAAACTAAGCCTAATATAACTGTATAGTGTAATTGCAGTTCTCAATAAAGTTCCTTTTTGATACAGATGCCACCTGTCTGAAATTATATGCAACCATAAATTTATCTTAATATTTTTCATTTCACTGTAAAGATTTGATTCTTAAGAAAATATTTAAAAGTATTGTCCTTTTTTTTGTTTCCGCAAGCAAGTGAAATCATGTAAAAAAACGTAAGAAATAAAAGTTTGTATACTGTTTCTTTAATTGTATTGTATGCCATGTTGTTCTTACCAGGATCTTTTTTAAACGTCATTCATCGTTTCTGCAGTGTTTGTTTGTTTGAAGTTATCAACAAAGCTATACAATGAGCTAACTGTGCTCTGCCCACCACGGGTATCGAAACCCGGTTTCTAGCATTGTAAGTCCGCAGACATACCGCTGTGCCAATGGGGGTCGTTTCTGCAGTGAGAAAAGCTCGCGTATAGAAAGCTGACATCAAATTAAGAGTGATTATTTGATTTTTCGCAAAAACAAACAAAAACATGCCGTTATCTTGGAGAAATATTTAAATTTATTAAAGAAACGAAAGGCTAATCAATTGCCATTACAACATTTTTTTGTGATGCTCCAACAGTGGACTTTTTCAAAGTTCTTCAAAGCAAATATCTAGAATTAAATATAGAATATTTTTTACGACAGTTTATTTTTATTTATATTCAAGATGATTAATGACATATTCTAATATTAATTCTGTTTTTTCAGCCTTTTCTTTTATAGTAAGTCGGCTGAAAGTTTGTAAATATTACTATATAAAAATTACTTTAATACAAACACAAGAGCAACATACGCATCCTTCCGAATGTCTTTTTACGGCCTTTTATTCATTTTTTAAATGTTATATATATTTTTTTAAACATTTTTTTCAAGCCTTACACTTCTACTTACAATCTCGGATTACTTTATTTCGTTTTAACGATGAAATGGCCCGGCATGGCCAGGTGGATAAGGCGCTCGACTCGCAATCTGAGGGTCGCGGGTTCGAATCCCCGTCACACCAAACATGCTCGCCCTTTCAGCCGTGGGGGCGTTATAATGTGACGGTCAATCCCACTATTCGTT